CTCCTAACCAAGTTCTTACCCTAGTAACCTCTGCCCGTCCACCACCTGCCCTCTTGACCCCATTCCATCGCATCTTCTACAATCTATTGCACCTGATCTTCTTCCTTTCCTCACCTGTCTCATCAACAATGCTCTGTTATCTGGCTGTTTTCTCTGAAGGAGAAGAGTCAACCGTCTCCTGAAGAAACCCACCCTCAACCCTTCTGAAGAAAACAACTACAGACGGTCTCTCTTCTTCCCTTTTTGTGCAAAACCCTTGAACGTGTGATCTTTAACCAGCTCTCCTCCTATCTCCAACAACCTCCTTGACCTCCACCAGTCAGGCTTCAAGGCCGTTCCACAGAGACTGCTCTCCTCGCTGTCTCAGAGCATCTCCACACTGCTAGAGGTCCTCTCTCTCCTCTGTCCTCGTCCTTCTGGACCTCTCTGCTGCATTTGACACAGTCAACCAGCAGATCCTTGTCTCCTCCCTTCAGGAACTTGGTGTCTCAGGCTCTGCTCTCTCCCTTCTCTCGTCCTACCTCGACGGACGCACCTACCGGGTAACCTGGAGAGGATCTGTGTGGGGACCTTGTCCTCTTACTACTGGAGTTCCTCAGGGTTCCGTGCTGGGTCCCCTCCTGTTTTCGCTTTACACCAACTCTCTCTGCGCTGTCATTCGCTCGCATGGCTTCTCCTACCACAGCGATGCTGATGACACCAACTAATCCTCTCCTTCCCTCACTCGGATCTCTGTCTGTCTGACTGACATCTCTCAGTGGATCCGCCCACCATCTGAAAATCAACCCTGACAGACTGAACTGCTTCTCTTTCTGGGGAAAGATTCTCCTTCACAGGACCCGACTGTTAACTTTGAGACTCCGTGTTAACGTCCACTTTGACTGCAGGAACCTCGGCGTGACGTCGACAGCCGACTCTCCCTGACTCCAACATCACTGACACCACCATCCTGTAGATACTCGCTCTACAACATCAGGAGAACACGTCCTCTTCTCACTCAGAAGGAGGTACTGATTCAGGCTCTTGTCCCTCCTGGACTACTGTAACTCTCTCCTGCAGGTCTCCTGCTACCACCATTCCACCTCTGCAGCTCATCCAGAATGCAGCAGCTCCACTGGTCTTTAACCTTCCTAAGTTCTCCCTCACTCCTCCACTCCTCTGCTCTCTTCACTGGTACCGGTGGCTCATCCAGTTCTAAACATGGTGCTCAGGTACCATGCTGTGAATGGATGGGGTCCAGCTTCCATCCAGGACCTGGTCCAACCCGACATCCCGACCCGCACTCTCCGCTCTGCATGTGATAAACTGCTTGTTCCTCCTCACTGAGAGCAAAACACTCAACTAGATCTCCACTCTCTGCTGTCCTGCTCCTAAATGGTGGAAGGAGGTCTCTGAAGACATCAGGACCACAGAGAGCCTTCACATCTTCAGACTAAAGACACACCTCTTCAGACTCTACCTCCACTAACACACTAACTAACTGCAGCACTTACATTGGACTTATAATGGTTCTTATCTACGGCAAGTTGTACATCGGCTTATTTGAGGAAAATGCACGTTCTTGTTTCTTGTTCTTCTGAGTTTCTGTCCTTATGGTTAAATGTTCTTATTGTAAGTCGCTTTGGATAAAAGCGTCAGATAAATAACATGTGATGATAATAAAGTATTTTGTGCTCTGTAGATTTGAAATGAGGCACGTGATCCACCGTCTTTCGTGTCCGTTGTCATGAGAGCTCCAGGATCTCACATCAGCAAGGAGACAACACACAATAGAAAGGCACGAACCCACAGAGTCAGGAAGTCTGCACACATCATCTTCATCTTCTTCATCACGCTGCCTCCTGCTGCAGGGAGGACACAACCACCTGAGAGACAGACAGGTGGAACAGGGTAAACCGTGTGTGTCCTCTCTGTCTCTCTGTCTGCCTGTCTCCTCTCTGCCTGTTCACCTGCTGGCCGTGCTGCAGCGTGTCTTACTGTCCACAGCAGACAGACAAGTTGTCCTTGTGTCTCTGTCTCCAGCCATCAGAGAGCTGAACCTACAGGACACAAACGCAGGCGAGTCACGAGCTTTAGCAGCAACACCTCCGGACGGTTCTGTTCAGTGGTAACCGTTTCCGGTTCGCCTTATTTCCGGTCCGGTTCTGTTCAGTGGTAACCGTTTCCGGTTCGCCTTATTTCCGTTAAATATCCGTAATTAAAAGATAAAACACTGCGTTGTGCGTCAGTATGGCCGCTGCGCGTCTTTTTGTCGTCATGGCAACGAGCCCGCGCGACGTTCGTGGGCCACACAGAAAATCGTAAATCCCACAAATAATGGTTTACTCACTTTAAAGAACTGTCCCTTCAGAAATGCAACAGTGGAGGTTCAAAATAACTTTATTGAACGGAACACAGTGAACACGCGGAACGGGTTCCGGGTGGATCAGAACCGGTCCTCACATACAGGACCTCCCTCCGTGGAGAAACGAGCTGAGTGTAAACGTTGACCCATATTCGTCAACATGTGGAAACCAGTGTTTACTGGGAGGACCCCCGCGACACCCAAACCAAAATAAAAGGGCACAAATTATTTACGACAATTAAAAATAATATTAAGGAATAAATAAATAAAAAACACAGGATGATATTTTCAATTTATATGTTTATTTTATAGTTTTGTTCAAACTAACTCAATTTATCTAATTGAGTAAATAACTGATCAAACAAGGCCATATTGGACTTTATCATTACTTACTGTTTTTATCATTACTTACTGTTTTTATCATTACTTACTGTTTTTATCATTAGTTACTGTTTTTATCATTACTTACTGTTTTTATCATTAGTTACTGTTTTTATCATTACTTACTGGTTTTATCATTACTTACTGTTTTTATCATTAGTTACTGTTTTTATCATTACTTACTGTTTTTATCATTAGTTACTGTTTTTATCATTACTTACTGGTTTTATCATTACTTACTGTTTTTATCATTAGTTACTGTTTTTATCATTAGTTACTGTTTTTATCATTACTTACTGTTTTTATCATTAGTTACTGTTTTTATCATTACTTACTGGTTTTATCATTACTTACTGTTTTTATCATTACTTACTGTTTTTATCATTACTTACTGTTTTTATCATTAGTTACTGTTTTTATCATTACTTACTGTTTTTATCATTATTTACTGTTTTTATCATTACTTACTGGTTTTATCATTAGTTACTGTTTTTATCATTATTTACTGTTTTTATCATTAGTTACTGTTTTTAGCATTATTTACTGTTTTTAGCATTAGTTACTGTTTTTATCATTATTTACTGTTTTTATCATTATTTACTGTTTTTATCATTAGTTACTGTTTTTATCATTAGTTACTGTTTTTATCATTAGTTACTGTTTTTATCATTACTTACTGTTTTTATCATTATTTACTGTTTTTATCATTACTTACTGGTTTTATCATTAGTTACTGTTTTTATCATTATTTACTGTTTTTATCATTAGTTACTGTTTTTAGCATTATTTACTGTTTTTAGCATTAGTTACTGTTTTTATCATTATTTACTGTTTTTATCATTATTTACTGTTTTTATCATTAGTTACTGTTTTTATCATTAGTTACTGTTTTTAGCATTAGTTACTGGTTTTATCATTATTTACTGTTTTTATCATTATTTACTGTTTTTATCATTAGTTACTGTTTTTATCATTATTTACTGTTTTTATCATTAGTTACTGTTTTTAGCATTATTTACTGTTTTTAGCATTATTTACTGTTTTTATCATTACTTAGTTTTCATCATTAGTTACTCATTACTTATTTATTTATCCCTCAGCAGACTGTCGTGTAGCTCTCACCTTTCATTTCAATAATTAAATTAAACAGAACTAGTGAACTTATTTTTTGTATTTTGTGTATTTCCGTGTGTGTGTGTTGCGGTGTGTACGTGTGTCTTTTGTCTCTTTCTGTGTTGGTTTGTGCTGTTTGTAGCCGGTCGGCAGGTCGCGTGCTCCGTGGAGGACTGCGGTCTGGCCGTGGGGGGGCTGGTGGCTCACGGGAGCGTGAAGTCTTCTTTGTGGACGGCTACGTCATGTCTGCCACATCGGATGACGGGAGGTGTTTCCGATCGGACAGCGAGGAGGAAATGGAGGAGGAGGGGGGGGGGAGACGAGGGCCAGCAGGGGAGGCTCTCAGGCAAAGAGGGGGGGGGGCGGCCGAGTCCTCTTCGGGGTGGCATCTCCTCGGGTGGGACGGTCACCAGCAGGTACGGGACGGGCAGGTGAAGGAGTTCCTGCTGGCCACCAAGAACGAGAGAGGAGTGAAGGTGGAGCAAACCTCTCCGACGTGGAGAAGTTTCACCCAGCAGGAGGTCTTCAGACCGAGGAGGCTCCTCCTGAAGACCACCAAGGAAGGAGGAAGCTCTGTTGGTACTGAGCAGGGTCCTGAGCGGGGGGGCGCATAAGTTGATTATGCTATATATATATTTTATATTACATACCTGCTATATTGCCGTCTTATTGATATTATTGACTATAATATTATTGACCTCCTCCTCTCTTCATTCAACATGACACACGTCAGTAAACAGCTGGACGAGGCTTTGAAATCACGGATTTCGTGACTTTTCCGTTTTCAGATGTTAAAAGACATCTGAGGGGAATTGATGACATTTCTACTCTTTAATATGGATGAAGAAAGGGGCACTTTTGTCATTCAGGGCGAAGGGCCGTGCTGGAGCCCCACTGGGGGTCTACCTGCCCCCTGCAGGGTGAAACCGCCCGATGTGATCAGGTGGACTCAGTGTGACGGCTGCTGTGGTTCTTCTTCTTCTTTCTGTCTTGTGTACTTGTTTGTTTGTCTTGTCTTTGTACTGTTAAATGTTTGTTTCCCTTATTTTATTTATTTCACTCTCACACTTTTGCTCTTATGATTTATTTTTCTGATGAATGAGAAAAGACTCATTAATAAAGTTTCAGCCAGGAAGAGAAACAAAGAAACAAAACACTGAAATGATTTAATCCTCAACATTAAAACAAACAAATGTTTAATTTGTAACTTTTTCTTTCATGTGTAAAAACTGTTGAGACTAAAACAAATAAAAGGGGACAGAAATAAACATCTTTTCTTCAGTCGGAGTCGGTGTCGATTGAGCTGCTGTCGTCATGGTTACCGGCTGTGTTCTCCCTACAGGCGAGCTTCGACCGGACGGCTCGCTTCCTGTCGTCATGGAAACGAGAACAGGCTCAGGCGCCATGGCAACCGCCGCAATAGCTCAATGCAAAGTGAGAGAAGAAGACGCTGACCTGCGGTAGAAGAAACGATGTCGCCTGGAGGTGAGACAGCCGTCCGTCTCCTCGTCCTGTGGACAGACAGGAGACAGGAGAGTATACAGAAGTGTCTGTGTCCTGAGGACGCATGCGCTGCGACTCGGATGTCCCGCCGAGGGACGCGATGTGGGGGACAATCGGATCTATCCTTTGCTGCCCAGCGTATCCCAGCATGCAGTGCGGGCCGACGAGCATTTAATCTATTGGGGACGGAGACGAGGACGGAGACGCCAGCAGGAAGAGTTCACTTTAAATGTAACGTTAAGTAATAGAATTCACCTGATTATCTACCGATAGAAATGTTATATTATAATAAATAACATCACATCTGAGTTTATGAAATGTCTTCAGTCACGTGACCGATGTTTCAAATTCACATAAGACTTCAGAACAAGCTGCTCTTACTGACGGCCGCCGCGTGTTCCTGCGTCTTTACGTCGTTCCACTTCCTGGTTGTAAAGTCCTGCGTGTGTTGCAGAGCGATTCACCTCCAGAACAACAGGTGGAGTCACGTGTTTTGTTGAAGACGACCTGGAGAGTCACGTCTTTGTGTGTGGAAGTCGCTGGTTGCTTTATTCATTGATCATAGACTTTATTGCCCCGTGCATCCACACTGCTGCTTTCCATCAAGGACACATTTGTCCCGTATTTTCCTCCACGACTTTGTTCCCTCGTTTGTGGAGATCTCCCTCCATGAATCAGAGGCCATCCGGCGTCCTCATAGTCCGCCAATGACGGCTTGTACAAGCGCTCATATTTAAAAGCTCTTCAATCTGATCCGTTCTCTCGTAAACGTTCTTCCTTTTAATAACGGCCGTATTGTGCTGTGAAAACGGAGACGTGAGACTCTAAAGGACGTAGTCAGAGACCGATCACAGCCTGCTGCTGCAGGACGCTGCGTCCACGTACCAGTGATGTGTCGTTTGTGAATCCTTACAAGGACTCGAGAGCAACGAGTCCTCTCAGAAAAAGATTTGTTCATTTTCTCGTGGTCAGCATCGGCTCAGCCAAGGAAACAGAAACGATTGGTTGAATGCAGCTCACGTGAAGAATGACTCGGTCGGGGGATGAACGATTCGTTCACCTGCCGGATACGGATCTCAGGATCATTTTTCACGTGAGCTGCGCTCAGAAGAGGAAACAGAAAGGATTTGTTTACCTGGTTCACGTTCGCGTGGCTACGTTTAGTAAGACGTGAATGATATTCCTTCATAAGTAATAATTACAGGTTTCGTTATTTTAACTTTTTGTACTTTACTTCAGCGTAATAGTTTTGCCGTGATAATTGATAGTGTGAAAATAAATGATCACTTCAAATCATCCAGACCGTCATGATACATTATTTTAATGCAGGAATATATTTTGTTGAGACACAGCTTGTGGGTGTGGTTGCAAACACTCAGCTCAATTACCCATGATGCAGCTGTGCTGGGCCTCTGTTCAGACTCTCTGGCTTCTCCCACACTCGAGTCCTGTTGCTGCAGCGTCGGCACCTCCTCGTTCTCCCCGAGTGTCACACTGCGCACCTCTGATGACACAGGTCACACAATACCAGTCACATGACACGGGTCACATGACACGGGTCACACAATACCAGTCACATGACACGAGTCACATGACACGAGTCACATGACACGAGTCACATGACACAGGTCACACAATACCAGTCACATGACACGGGTCACATGACACGGGTCACACAATACCAGTCACATGACACGGGTCACACAATACCAGTCACATGACACGGGTCACATGACTCTCACCTTTAGCTGCCTCCTGCATGGGCTCCTCCCCCTCGCTGCTCACACTCAGCTCAGTCTGTGCGGGAGAGAGAGTTCTCATTACATCATCATAAAATCAACACCTCCTCTTCCTCCTCCTCCTCCTCACCTGGTGGGTGTTGCTGCTGAGTCTGCGGAGGCGTGTTCTCAGCTGTAGCTCCTCCCCCTGTGAGCTCAGCAGGAGGAGCTCCAATTTATCGGATTGTTCAGTGAGCGTTCTGACCTGCTCCCTGTAGTGGTCCTTCTCCTGCAGGAGCAGCCGCACCTCCCTGCTGCTGCTCCGCCCGCGAAGATAGAGCCTGACACACCAAAGATCAATCCTCATCATCATCTTCCTCCTCCTCCTCCAGATCCTCCTCCTGCTCCTCCTCACCTTGTCTCTCTCTCTGATCACCTCCTCCAGCTGTCTGAGGGTTTGTTTGTTTCGTTGACGGTACATCCTGACATCTCCCTTCAGCCGGGTGGAGAACAGCTCCAGCTCCTCCTTCTCCTCCAGGCTCTGAAAACAAACATCGTCAGGGTTTGTTCTCTTCTTCCTCCAGCTCCTCCTCCTCATTCTCCTCATTCCTTCTCCTTTTATCTTACTTCTTTTACTACTACTCTTCCTCCTGCACCTCCTTTTTTCATCTCCCTCATTCTCCTCCTTTTATCTTACCTTTCTCTTCCTGCTCCTCTCCCTCATCCTCCTTTTTTCATCTTTCTCCTCATCCTGCTCCTCCTCCTCATTCTCCTCCTTTTCATCGTACTTCTTTAACTACTCCTCTACATCCTGCTCCTCCTCCTTTTTTCATCTTCCACCTCCACCTCACCTTGGCGCTCTGCTCCTCCGCTCTGTGGAGTTGTCTCCTCAGCCGTAGCACTGTTGTGAGGAAGTCAATCTCCTTTTTCTCCTCCTTTTTCTCCTCCTTTCTCTCCTCCTTTCTCTCCTCCTTTCTCTCCTCCTTTTTCTCCTCCTTTCTCTCCTCCTTTCTCTCCTCCTTTTTCTCCTCCTTTTTCTCCTCCTGTTGCTCCTCCTTCTCCTCCGCTCCGTTTGCGTGGGAGAAGGTCTCGCTGGGAGGAGACAGAATGTTGCTCTGAAAAGAAGAAAAGAAAATTTAATGTGGCATCAGTGACAAAAACTCAAAACCACTCCTTCACACAGCGGGGGGTCAGTACTGGGTCATTGGTACTGGGTCATTGGTACTGGGTCAGTGGTACTGGGTCAGGTACTGGATCATTGGTACTGGGTCAGTGGTTCTGGGTCAGGTGCTGGGTCATTGGTACTGGGTCATTGATACTGGGTCATTGGTACTGGGTCATTGATACTGGGTCAGTGGTACTGGGTCATTGGTACTGGGTCATTGGTACTGGGTCAGTGGTTCTGGGTCAGTGGTTCTGGGTCATTGATACTGGGTCAGTTACTGGATCATTGGTACTGGGTCAGTGGTTCTGGGTCAGTGGTTCTGGGTCAGTTACTGGATCATTGGTACTGGGTCAGTGGTTCTGGGTCAGTACTGGGTCCGTTGTTGGTGGGAGGAGTCTGCACCTCCTGTCTCACTGTTCTTCTTCTCAGGATTCTGGTCGTGTTCTCCGCTCGCTGCACCGTGTGTTTCAGACGTTCAACCTGAAGAGAGGTCAAAGGTCAGAGGGGCTCTGTGTGTCTGTCATTTGGGGGCCAGAGGTCATCTAACCTCTATCTGCAGGTCACGGTTTGCCAGCAGGGCGGCGCTCTTTTCCTGGGCCAGGCCGTTGATTTCGGACATCAGGCTGTAGTTGTGGTCTCGGAGCTGTTTCGCCTCCTCGCTCAGAAGCTGCCGCTCCTCCCGGAGCTTCTCCACGCGCTCACTCAGCTTCCTCAGCTCGCGCTCCTTCAGCTTCTGCTGTCGAGACAACGCATCCGGGCACAGAGAGTCACCTGTGGGCGATGAGCGCCGGCGGCTCGAACGCTCCCCTAGCAACCGCCCACCTGTTCCTCAGCGACGGAGCAGGCCTGCTGGCGCCGCCTCCTCTCGTCCTGCAGCGCCCTCTGCAAGCGGCTGAGCTCCGACATGAGGAACTGAGTCAGACCGGACTCGCCTGCTGTGTCTGCAGACAGACAGGTCGTCAGGCAGATAGGTAAAGAGACAGACAGTTAGTCGGACAGACGGGTCAACAGACCAATAAGGATGCTGAAGGTTCTGTTGGGCTCCTTCCCGGTGATGCGGCTGTACAGTTGAGGATAATCCAGCTCCAGACTTTCCAGGAAAGCAGTGTAACCTTTGACACCCGTTCTTTGCAGGAGGTCCAGCAAGGCTCCTGGAGGAGGTCAAAGGTCAAACATATCGTCCAGGTGAAGACCTCACACTCACCAAGTCAGACAATGAGCTTCTCACCGACTTTTCTTCTCCTTATGACGAGAGCCGGATCATTAAAGAGCTGCTCCTCATCCTCAGCACTGACCACCTGACAGGAGACACCAATCACCAAGGGGGAGGAGGGGAAGGAGACAGAGGAGGAAGAGCAGGAGCAGGAGATGGAGGAAGAAGAAGAGGAAGAGTACCTGGCACTGTCGCAAGTAGGGAGTGATTCTCCAAGGTTCAATGGTTTTGATGAGAATCATCCTGAAGTCATCAAGCTGCAGCCAGCAGAGGTCATCCTCACATACCGTCTCCATCTGTGGGTGTAGTACACACCACGAGTACTAGTATGCACCACGGGGGTAAATACACACCACGAGTACTAGTATGCACCACAGGGGTATATACACACCACGAGTACTAGTATGCACCA